AGATGTGATAGGTTTTAGTAATACAGCCTTATCTATGTTGAGGTGTTGATGAGTTGAGTATGGAACTGTTTTTAGAACACGGTGTATGACATGAAAAGCTGTTCTATCATCTATATAGAGCCCTGTGTTCACTAGGTGGGCTAAGATGGAGTTTCATGTCGCTTTGACTTTGTCTTTTCCATTCGAAGTTGGTAAATGTTCTCATATGCAGATACGCACTTATACGCCTTATATACCTTTTCCGATGGAGAATAAGTTCAAGATAAGAAGCTTAGATTAAGTAAGATATCATTGGTATCGGACCGAAGGTTGTACGACTACCAAAAAAATGATGGGATGTCGATTGAAGTGCCGTCTTTAAATTATAGACACAGAAACGAAGGCTTTTTGTTCATTGTTGTGGATGGCGTTTACATTGATGAACTCATCAGGATACTCACTTTTAACTAGAATATCATGGATGTTCAGTAGTTTTCTCATTTCACACTCCATGAAGCAAATTCATTTTACTATGAATTCTAGTCATCAGATTATGCTGCTTTTCACTTCATTGATATGAAGCTGTGAAAGTGTGTATATGGTGTGCTTTAGGTATCCGTTTTCTGTATGTAATCCTCTTTATTGAGTCAATTTTTTTTGTCAGTAACAAGTCCCCCATTCATATTCATATCGACTATTGTTTCATTATTACTGTATGTGTTCTCATTACAATGATATATCTAATTCACTAACCATTTTGTTGAGATGAACTCTTCCACATGGATGGGTAATCACTTCTACTCATTTCTACTGAATATAAATCCTGTGTAGTACAGTCTAGAAAGTAAACATCTCCATTAAAACTGGACAGTTCAAGGATTTAGATACAAAAACTGGAAATTATGCAGGAAATTACTGTGTACTTTATTTATGTTGCCTTTTAAAGTTATTACAGAAAGCTACCACAAACATCAATTTTGACCTGCTTAATCTGCACTACAAAATGTCGGACAGTGATGGTTAAATGTAGACTTTTTTCTCATCCGGCAGTTAGCAGTGGTTAACACTATAAACCATAAAAGTGGATATGAGTGATAGTCAGCCGCATTATTAGTCAGTTACTTAAAACCTCTTTACTTCTAAAAGTATGGCCTGTGCATAAGTTAAATATAGTATAGGTAAATGGGTGAGTGACCATCGATAACTTGGGATGTTGGTCGAACTATGTGCAAGTCGACAGAAATAGGAAACAGCACCCTGATGGATTCTGACACGGTGATTCAATGATCCTAGGCATGACTAATGAAGAGGCGAATACGGGATTGCTAAAGAGTTCTTGACTAAGAATAAGCAGCTATCCAACTTTTTAAGACTTTCAGTATATGATAGAAATTACTTTCAGATTGGCTTTAGTTTGTTGCCATTAGTTATCTCTAAACAGAGTGAACAATGTTCACTGTATCACGTTGGGAATCAATTTATAATGTTAAAATTAGCCACTCTGGTAAATTGAATAAGTTCTACATCTAAACAGACCGTATAGCTTTTGTAAAAAATTGATGTTCATTTTCAGCTTATTTTTGCTAACTGACATTAATAACCTTGATGATAGTTACTACCTTTACTTTTCATGTTTAAGATTCCTAGTTTACTGAGTTAAGTGGTTATGGAGGCGATGAAAATGATCATGAATGGTATCGACTTCACAACACCATATTATTCCACTTAGAGTTGTTGTAATAACCAATATGATTGTCCATATCCTACAAATAAGCTTTATGTCCCTGAAATACTTGTCAACTCACTCAACATACTTCAAAGCTTCAAGAAAAGATACTTTAATATAGATGTAAATATCAGATTAATAATTATTATTTGTCCCTTGGGTTCCTAATGGAACATAGGGATTCAGTAGCATGTCTCCAGTGCGCTCTATTCTCTGAAATCTTTTGAACCTGTTGACACGACTGCCCACAAGCTCTCATTTCCTCCTCACACGATCTCCTCCATGTCACCCTCACCTCGGACGCCCAACTCGTCGCTTCCCATCGGGGTTCCACTTGAGGGCCCGATGCGTGAAGTCTCCAGTTGGTCTTCTCAGCGCATGCCCAATACAATCCATCTCCACTTCCTTCCAGTGCATATTTGTTGAGTAATAGGTTCTTGCCCCGTTGGTTTGTTACCAGGCCACAGTTTCATGTTACTTACTCTTTCTGGCCATCTGATCTTCAGTATCGAGCCAGTGTAGGCAGTTGTTGATGAATGTCTGTAGTTTGTTGGAAATCCCTTTCGTAACGCACCAAGTTTCTGAACCATACAGGAGCGCTGACTGACGTTGATGTTGAAAATCCGCATTTTGTTCCACATGCTGAATGCAGTAGATCTCCATGCTGGTTTCAGGCTAATGAAGGTCTGTCTTGCCTTTCCGGTTCTGACTTTGACGTCCTCATTTGTGCCTGTGCCGATGCTACCTGCCTAGGTAGGTGAAAGAGGCTACTTTCTTTAGGTTTCTCCAGTTTATAGTGATTGGTGCCTCTTGTTTTTGATGCTGTTGTTGGTTGAATATCTACATCACCTCCGCCTTTTCTACGTTCACTTGAAGTTCCGTCTTCCTTCGCTGCCCTGCCTTGCCTCTTCTGTCAGCTTGTTAGTTTTCGACTGTAGATCTTCGAGTTTGTGCGACATCAGACACAAGTCATCGTTAGCGAAATCCAAATCTTCTTGTGTGGTATTTTTATCGGTCCAGTCAGCGTATGCCCATCTTCTCGCTCCTCACTGTTTGTTGCACGATCCAATCGACCACAATCCGGAAGATGATGGGTGATAGTAGGCAACCTTGTTTCACTCCTGTCTTCACTTCAAAAGCATTATTGAGCTTCCCGTCGTGAATTACTTGGCTGGCATGTGGTGTCTTCGTATAGTTGTTGAATAAGGTTGATAAAGGTTTGTGGTATTCCATAGTGTTGAAGCAACTGCCTGGCGAATTACTTGTCAGTCGACGCTGTCGAAGGCTTTCTCAAAGTCGATGAAGTTGAGGTAGAGAGTTGACTGCCATTCTATACTCTGTTCTATGATGATGCGTAGAGTAGCTTTGCAATTTGGTCTGCACATGATTTGTACTTCCTGAAGCCTGCATGTTCCGGTCGTAGTTTTGAATCCAGAGCATCATTTAGTCTCTCCATGATGATGCGGTATAATACTTTGCTTTCTTTGGGTGGACAGTAGTTGAGCGTGATTCCACACCAGTTCTTGCAAAGGCTTAGGTCGTTCTTGTTCGGGAGTTTGACAGGGTAGCTCTTCTTCCAATCAGTAGGCAGGTACCTCCCCTTCCTTCCAGACCTTTTGCAATAGTGGTGTGAGCATGTCCACTGTTATCTCTGCGTCTGTTCTCAGTGCTTCTGGCGGGATTCCATCTGGTCCTGCTGCTTTCCCACATTTCAGTAGCTTTATGGAACTCAGGACTTCGACTTTTGTCAGAAGATTTATGTTCACTTTTAGTTCTCTGGCTGCAGGTGACGAAATGAAATAAACACAAAGTATTCTTTCAGAAAGACTTAGAAATAGTCAACTCCATAATAAGTGTATATAGTTTTGTATTCTGATTCAGATGTATTCAGATGTACAAAGTTAATTGTTTCTTATTAAAATGATAGTCATGTTATATCAGAATTAAATTTATTTTATAGCATCTATAAATAGAAATAATTCTCTTATTCATAAATTTTGCGTGTACATTAACTTATGCATTAACCTGTATTTACCACCTATCAAAGTTTAGATGTTGTAGGTAAGGAGAGGAAGGAAATAGTCGTGTATAGTAATTGAATAAATCATGTTTCATAATATACACTTATCATTCTTGAATCTTAAAATGTTTCTTGTCAGTATCATCTATTTGTTTTATCGTTAAATGTGTCGAATTCAGACGCAGATGAGAGACTGTAATGACAAAAGTATCATTCACAGTATTACTATACATTGCCTAATATCTTTTTACTTCAGAATGGGGATAAATTTAAGTCATAGTTGATATAAATAAGCTTACATCTATGCAGATTCAATAGGAGTAGGAATTAATCAAGAAATCTTCTAATAAGTTGATGCAGGCTGAGATAACACCGGTCCTCCAGTCAGGATTTCGAAACTATCAGATCGGAATAAATACCTATGCAGTTATATAAATCATTCATTAACTAGTTAAAATGGGTTTCTTCTTATTGCATTGCTTGTTGTATTATCCTGTTGTTGGTGGGACCAGAGTGATTAGTCTCTGTTGACGTATGAACTCCTGCGCGGATGCCTTCACATTGCCTATGGTTTCAGTTTTATGGTAGTTTTATAGTTTTATTTGGAGCGATATCACTCACTGGAAGCAGGTATATCCAGCTGATAAGTACTGAATAGGAAGAAACGCGAGCTTTGTATTTTACTGCTAGACACTATTCATGATTATTATCAAGTGGATTATATTTTTTTGAAAAAGAGAAAATCTTTCTCTAGGCTTGAAAAGATGATCTAACTAGTAGAATAACTGCCAAAATTCCAAGTGCTAAATCTTTTGGTCTGTCACTACTCGCTACTCCACAGAGCACACTAAACGCATGTCACAACATTCACCTGCATAGTGAATTATAGGGAATCACCATTATAACTCAAGATGTTTCTGGTTGAACGGCAAATGACATATTTACTGACGGCAGTTTTCAAATAACAACGCTTCTTCATCAACTACCTCATGATAAACAGTGAGGTAGGTAAGCAGTTCGGTAGGTGCAGAATGACCAGATTATATCATTTGAATCAGTCAGTTTCAGCAACAAATGAATGTTACGGTTGTATTATCGAATGGAAGTCAACTATTATTAACATTTTATTATTTGTCCTTTGGGTTTCCAGTGGAACATAGGGCTTCTGTAGCACATAACCATTTCATTCTCTTCTTTGCAGCCTTTTCAACCTGGCACCACGACTGCCCACAAGCTTTCATTTCTTCCTCACACAATCTCTTCCATGTTACCCTCGGACACTCAACTTGTCGTTTCTCATTTAGCTTTTACTCGACGGCCTGGCCTGACATGTGATGTCCTCAAACACTCTTCTCAGTGTATGCCAAATCCATCTCCACTTTCTTCTTTTTGGGTAATGGGTTCTAGGTTGGTTCGTTGTGGAGCCAGCTAGAACTCCTTGTTACTTATTCTTTCTGGTCAACTATCCAACAATAATCGACCATGGCGTTATTTGAAGAAGGGCACTACCAGGTAAGTTAATTAACTATACCTTTTCTCCACTTTTCATTTCTTTCAATAAGTATCATATAATTTGGTAAACATTTTATTCGTTTATCAACACTCCAAAACTTGCTCAGTAGATTAGGTATAACTGAGAGTATTACTCACCAGTTCTCTTTTCTCTTAGGATAGTTCTAAGTTCTAACCAAGAAGGTGAAAGAACTACTCCTATTTTCCCTCCATAAATACTCACTCCAACAGGCATCGAATAAATCAGACAAACATATTGCACACTGATGTTCTGGTAAAATTAACCTTGATACTTGTAGTTGAAGAAAACATGATTAGTAGCGTACACACCATGTGATTGTGAAATGTATTTCGTTAACCAACAACAGAAGATCTTATTTACATAAATATGTGGAGAATTATTAGAAAATTCTTGAAGTAAACATTTATATTTGACCTCGCCAAGTATATTTATAATTTGTCTGTTAATTTATACCAGGTAATAGTCAAAGTAATCAGTGTTCTCCTTATCCTTTATGATTTACAGTCAGTTTGATGAAAAACTACTGTTATAGCATTAACTTTTGTTAGCTCATGTTTTCAGACATTCACTTATTCTTACACAAAATTAATGACTGCAACTTATTCAGTCAACCTTGCCTTAAGTGTTAGTGAATATTTATAGGTTGAGAAGTTGAGAGCAAGAAGGATGGGAAGTTTTTGACTTAATCTCCCAGCCTTCTACCATCCCAGACATTCATCAGTAACAGTGTCTACGGCAACCATTTGACCTCATTTTAAATACTGGCTACCAAATAATTTGTGATTGGTTAACGAGTGCATACAAAATGTTGTATAAACTCAATCTACAACACCATTTGGTCCATTCTTCTTAGTTACGTTCTCAGTCTGTTGTTAAGTGCGTGTACGATTCCTGTAGGGAATAACATCCCTTTAAAACCATTGGTAAAACTGGTTTTTGTAATGAGTAAATGCTAGTTGATGCAATAAAATAGCCTGAAGATTATGTCTACTTGTATTACCTTACTCTCAACTCCTACCAGGAAGGAGACACAATTTATTATATGAATCTAGTATGACACAGAAGTAGTCTAGATCAGAACAAAAATGCTCCGCATCTAAGCAACAGGTAAATAATTGTTGTATCCCAATTCTATGTTAGCAGTCCAAGGACTGAAATGAAACTGTTTGTCTTCTGTAAATTGCGTAACTATGAAATGATGAATACGATAATTGCAAATGAAACTCTGTAACATATGCTTGCAATCCATAGATTCACAAAACATTGTCGTATTTAGACTATTTTATACCCTAACACACCCTCACCTATACAGCTACTTCTTCACAGTAGAAACAACTTTGATTCATGAGAAATAACAGGGTGATAGGTGATTATTAGCAGGTATTTCAAATCATCGTTCACATGAAAATTTCTGTTATTAGCTTTATCCTCATAAAGGCTTTCAGAAAAATGTTTGGAATTTTGAAAAACGGGTTTTTATTCCATTTGTTCTGATTGAAACACTTGAAGATATAGATTATTCAAAGCTGTAATATATTAGTTTGATCATTTCCCTTGTAAATCTCAGTTGATTATGAATTAATGATATGTAAACCCTTCACTGCGTCTATTTACTTTTATTCCAAAGTCGCAATTTTGATCATACTAAAAGCTTATCTACCACGTGGTCAAGATTATTAAATTAAAGGTTAAACTGAACGAAAGAATATTCGTTTCAATAAATTCTTGTTAGGTCTTACAATTAAAAGAACATCTGAACAGTAATATCAGTACCTAAGTTTATAACAAATGTATTAAAAATATTTATAAATTTATCGAAGTAGCCAAATTAACTTGAGTGTTTTTGAACATTAAAGTTCAGTTGAAGCGAATGGGATATTCTCAGCTGGTACACCCACGCTCTACAAAATTGTGGTGGACTGGATAATGCAATAAACAGTGAGGAGCGAGAAGATGGGCATACGCTGAATGGACTGATATAAAGACCACAGAAGAAGATTTGGATTTCGCCAACGATGATGATTTATGTCCAATGTCTTGTTGCACAAACTCGAAGATCTACAGCAGAAAACTAACAAGTTGACAGAAGAGGCAAGGCAGGGCAGCGAAGGAAGATGGAACTTCAAGTGAATGTAGAGAAGACAGAGACAGAGGTGATGAAGATATTTAACCAACAACAGCATCAGCAACAACAAGAGGCACCAATCACCACCAGTGGGAGAAACCTAAATGAAGTTGTCTCTCTCTCACCGACACCTACCTAGGCAGGTAGCATCGTTTCAACTACACGCGGTGTCACAAGCACAAATGACAATGTGAAAGCAGCGAGGATCTGGAAGAGAGTGAGACAGGCCTTCCTGCATTAATCTGAAATCAGTGTGGATATCTACTGCACTGTACTGTACTGTACTGTACTGCACTGCACTGCATTGCACCGCACTGCACTGCATTGCACTGCAATACACTGCACTCAGCATAAAGTGTGAACAACATCCAGATTTTCAACACCAATCCAGTCAAGTAAGTCAGTGCATCTATGTGATGGTTGAGAGAATTGCAGCGTCACGAAAAGCACATCCAACAAACTACAGACATTCATGAACAGCTGCTGCCTACGCTGACTCGATACTGAAGATGGAGATGAGATGACGAGAATAATCAGAATATGTAAGAAGAAATTCTGGTCTGGGAACGAACCAACGGATCAAGAACCTATCACCCAACAAATGTGCAGAAGAAGGCAGTGGAGATGGATTGAATTTGGCATATACTGAGAAGGTCGATTGTGGATATCAGTTGACAGGCTATGCTATGTAGTGGAATGCAGATGGGTTAAGGGTGATTTGGGTGTCTGAGGTGAGGTTGACATGGAGGAGGTGATGTGAGGAGGAGATGGAAGCTTTTGTGGGTAGTGTTGGCGCCAGTTTGAAAAGACTGTATGGCAGAGAAGGAACCCAAGGGACAAATAATAATAATAGTAATAATAATCGCTGGTACACTGAAGTTGAGACCGGATGTAGGCGGTGACCTGACTGTTCTGGCGTCACATCACATTGACGCGGTGGGTGAACTGCTTCCATTGACATCTCATTGAGATGAGGCAGGTGTCGAGGATGATGCATGGGTGACTGGTGAGGTATAAGTCGGGGCACTATTGAGATGGTCATTGAGACTGAAGATTGTGATGTAGATGTAAATAAATTCAAAGAAATATATGGCTATTTACCATGAATATAGGTTTTTGTAGAGAAGCTAAAATGTTCAGGCTGATTTGTTTCTGAGCTAAGCATTTGGTTCGTAAAATTCGCAGTACTACACCGGATATCGTCATCACCAGCTTGTTATTCCTGAACAGTTCAATCTACTTGATTTCCTTGCATGGCGCAAATGCAGTGATGATATCTAGCATGACAGTGAAACGTTTACCAATAAAAACTAGTACTCGAAAAGCAATTTAGTTTGAGCATTCAGTTCATGAGCTACAAATATTTCCCAATATAGCCCAGAGTTACAGCAAATTATTCAGAGTATGTCAGGGGTATATTAGTTATAATACTCTACAGTTTTCGCTATTACTTTATACGTTTGTTCGATAATGTGCATATTAACACTAAACCTATGGAGGGTTAGGCGTCTTGGTTATCTTTATATAATGAATGATACTTTAAGGCTTTTATCAAGCTGACAACACATGAGCACAAGTGAAGTCATTATTTTATAGACAAACTATTAAGCAACAAGTTGATTGAATAATTGATGACCCTCGTGACATAATGACCAGACAACGAATGTAATCAGGGTTTCACCATTAAATAGGAAGCTTTGTTGCATATTTAACAATTTAATTAATGCGAAAATTCCTATTTAGACATTTAGTAAAACAAACAATGTGAGTGAAGAAATATTTCTTTTCAATTAGTTCCTCATCAATGGCTCTACACTAATATAGCATTTTCAAACGTAGAATTACATACCAATCTAGTGGTGAGAGTTGTTCAATGAAAGGTTATCAATCTCAAAGTATCAAGAAGGTGATAATTGATCAGGTAATTAGGACAGTTAACTAAAGCAAAGATTAATTATGGTAGATTTGGTGAACAGGTTCTTACATAATTGATATTTTGTATAATGATAACTAAAGAGCAAAAATGAACTGTTACGTAAGATGGTAAATTGTTGACGGTAATTAGAGACAGTAGGGGGAGAGAAAGATGGTTAAGATGGTTTTTTACCGTCTCATCTGTTTGGGTTTACGTGTTGTGACCTTGGATAACCTCAGTCAACCCATTTTAATTTATTCTTCCTATAAGGAAGCTTTGTCAATTGAAACAATGTAATTAAGTAGGCAGCAGATGACTGAGTTTCCTCAGTCTCTTACTTACCCTTTCTACGGTTCAATTCTAAAGTTATACGCATGTAGCTATCCTTGAATGTCGAAGGGATGATTGTGCAGTTTCCACTTGTGTTGAATGATTCCCATATTGTTATCAATCAGTTGTGAGAGCTATCTGATCATTTCGATAGAACTGATCAATTTATTCTAAAATAAACATACGAGAACTTCAAGTTCATGACAACAGCACGAATTAACCTTCTTCCTATCAACTAATTTTCATGTACATATCAGATTTACCTCATACGAATCTTGCTGAAGATTTGATTTAGAATTGTTCACTTACCTAAGAAGATTCATATTTAGTTCCATATGTATACTATATTTTCTAGTGTACACTTCTGGAAGAAAAGCTTGTGCAAAAGTTGCTAATCCTCTTCTCAGCTTTGGTCTGAGGAAAGGCAAAGTCTTGATACATTTTCATGGAATCCAAGGTATGCTTTCCTCTCTATTCTCTTGATGTAAATGCCACCGCAGATGCATGTAAAGTTGTATATATATATATATATAAGTTATGTCAGTTGAAGTTAAATCCAATGAAAACAGACTTCTTGTTTACTGTATTTTTCTTGGACTTATTATCTC